CTTCACATAGCATACTAAGCCAAAATCAAACTAGTGACGTTCTAGCTAACCACAGAGCAGGCTTGAGTTAGTGAAGTGTGTGAACTGCCACTGAGGACGTTCACTGGAACCACAAAGCACACGCTGGGCGAAATAGCTCTTCTGACTAGGAACCCAAAGCAACCTTCACACGCAAGTCAAGTTGCCCCAACCCTATTCTCATTCTTCAAAGTAGTTTGACATGAATTCACCATCATGTGATCCCTGCTAAGAAAGGGAGCTGAACAAGTACCAAGGTCGCTTTTGCTTCATACATATAAACCCTTTTTGCAAGCCTTCAGGAATTTTGTCTGGGCTTGGAAGTTAAGCAAGGTTGGGTGGTGTGCTGAGAATTTGGAGGGGAGAGTGCCAAAAGATCCACGGATGGTAGACTATCTAGGAAACTGGGAAAGCAAGGAAAGAGAGCACCCAATCATCGGAGAAGATAACGGCAAACTCCTGTACTGTTGCCACAATAACTACCTGACTGCCATGTTTGAACCCAGAAATTGTGCTTCCCTCAAATATGGTTAGTCAAATGATGGTTTAGTGCCATCTGCAAATCCAACTAATCTCTCCTCAAAGTTCTTGCTACTGCTTTACTGCCATTTTAATTCCTTATTGGAAAGTCTGTTTCCAAATGCTCAAGGTTGATTCTGGTCTTTATATCTGAAAATGAAGCTTGCTTGCTTCCGGGGCATCTGCAGAGCGTGGCTGTGCTCCTCCTGGTTTCTTGATGTGCAGCCATCCGGAGTTCCTCTGGATTTGGGCAGCTGCTGGAGGCCTGGAGTTTGGAAAAGGGGTTCCTGGAGAGGATGTGACGGGAGCTGTAAACTACCCTAAAGATATTATATAATGTGAGGAAATGGCTAGGGAAGTCAGGGTCTGGTACCCCACACTGTCAAAAGGAAGTAAGGGGCAAGAGAACAGATCAGGGACCAAATGTTGATTTCTCATGAACCTGATGTCTCCTGACGCTAACGCAGAGCCTCTAGGAATGCTCTGGGATCAAACTGTCATCCGGCGTAAAACCCCTGCGGCTATTTTTTGTTACTTCTCAGTTGTTTCATGACGCCTTTCAGAAACACACTGATACCACCGTAACCCCAGATTGTCCACTTCAGCTCTAGAGGAAAAGCCACCGGATTCTCAAATGGTTTTTCTACCCGGTACCTGGTAGAGGGAAACGACGTTCATTATCCTGCCAACAGAAGCACCATTCTAAAACATCAGATTGTGTTTGAGGATTGACTAGCTCATTAAATACGGGCTGGGAACCGTGGCAACCCAGTGGATCCGTAGCTGGCTCAAAACTGCACTCATCCACCCTCCTCAAGCTAAGTGAGGGATCAGCACTGTGATCTACCCCAAAATGGGCATGAAGAGAGGCAAATCAGGGTTAGTGCTATTTCTACTTTGTTCTGTGCTGAAGGGTTGAGTTTTGTACAGCACATTTTAAAAAGGAACTTGGAAGAGGCTCAGAGAAAGGCAACCAAGTTGGCTGGAAACTCAGTCCTTTGAAGATGGACTGAATATTTAGTCTTGAACAGAGAAGACTCACAGGGGATGTTGATTGTGGAACCAACTACTAGGTTGTTCATGACTCTGAAGGGAGCCTCCTGTTTTGCTTCATCATATTTGAGCAAACTGTCTCTCCAATAGGATGTTGTGAAGCAGTGAGGGGCTGCTTCACAATGGACACAGAAGCAGTCGGACTGCAGTGTCTATAGACAGTTGTGAGAAGGGGGAAGGGCTGGCTGACTAGCCTGATTAGCCTAGAACTATCATAGATGGGCTTCTGAAGTCCAGATGACCACTAGGTGCCACCAGAGAAGTGCAGAAAGCTAATTTTTGCTGCCCCCTCCTGGTCGTCTGGAGCTTTTCAGCCAGGTTCTCTGAATCACTTCACTGAGATAAAATAGCATTGTGGGTTATCCTGAGGCCAAAGCAATATACGTGACCCAACCCCCTGTTAATTGTCCTTAGGAGAAATTATAAGGTGGGCTTTATCATCCATGTAGAAGGAGGGCAGGAGAACTTCTCCAGAGAATGAGGCTCCAGAGTATACGTGGAGCAGGGCACTGGTGTTAGTGTCACAGAAGGCCACCCGTCTCCCTTCACAGTTCAGAGACACTCGGATCCTCTTGGGTTCGTCCTTCAGGACCAGAGGGGGATACACAGGGGGGTCTGAGGCACAGTAACCCCCTCCCCAGTTCCCAATGCACCAGATGCCAGCCTCTGGGCCACATTCAACCTCCTCCTTTCTCCTCACTGATCTTTTAGCCACCCCAGACACCAGGCTTCCTCCCTTCCCACGCTGACATCCCAGACATGTCTC